TTGCCAGGCAGATACTTGGGGCAACAGATCTACATCCCTGGAATCCCCCTTTCTTTCTGCAAATATATAGCCCTCCGTTTCCAGTAACCTGCCTTTGAACTGCTCTTTGTTTATGATTTGGTTACTCCCATAAGAGAATCTATGGGATATTTAGGCCCAGGTGTCTGATTTATCTTACTGAAACATATAGTCTCAAAGTTCATTTACTTTCTTATACGTGACCCATGTTTATCCTTCTTTGCGGTGGAATAGTGGCTCCTGTGTATAAATACTGACACAGGAAAATAAAAACTCCCCACCTGAGTGATATCTGGGACGAGTTTGTGTTCTCTAAAATTGAAGAATGAATTTTAGGGACAATGGAGGTTAAAGGTAGAATATATTTATTTAGGGAAAGAAAGCTTCTATCCAGGAGAGGGACAGAAGGTGGCCCAAGTGGGTTGCAAAGGACCCTGCCTTTTCTGGGGACTTTATAGGGCAAAACCACGAGGTGGGGTGGGGGACCAAGATAGGGGGAAAATGGGAAATTACAAGATGGGCATGAGGTGGGACAAAACTATGATCAGCCAATAAGATTACAAGTATAATTGTTCAGGTAAAATTGAGTAAACTGGGATCAAATGGGGAAGTGAGTCATGTAGCAAGTGAGTATGAATACAGAACAGAACAGGGGCTTCTCCTGTAGGGGGTTGGGCTAGTGACTCTTTCTGGCTTTTTGAAGGTGGTTGCTACTTATTTAGAATATCAATCCCTGATGTTTACACCTACGGGGTATGTGGGTGCATTTGTTTAGTCCTTTGTCCTGACGTCCGGCCCACAGGGAGAATGTCTCCATTCACAAGGTATCTTGTCTTTCATGTTGGCTCCTTGGAAGGCCTGGCCCAGTCTGACTGCAGATAATATTTCTAACTCAGCTGCCTATAACAATACCACATGGTCTTTATCTATTTCCATCGATGGACATGTAGGCAACCTCCAGGTTTTAGCTATCATGAGTTGTGTTTCTATAAATATGGATGTACCTATGTCACTATAATATGATGTTTTAACTTTTCTGATAGATCCTCAAAAGGGGAATCTATGGGTTGAGTGCAATTTGTTTTTGATTTTTTAGGAATTTCTGTACTGATTTGTATAGTCGTTGTGCATCTTGTAAATATGTACCTATAAAAATAAAAATTGAAAAAATAGAGTATCAGAAATAGTTTGCCAAAGTGCTTGACTTGCTTGGGGAAGAGGAAGGGAATGATTAGTTTAAATTTAAAATTAAAACCAGAATGAACTATAAGTACCATCCCTAGAATCACTATAAAGTAAAAGACTGAACCCCCAAACCACAAATCCACAGGTGCTGTAGTCCTTTATATAATATGTTGCTGTATTTGTACATAATCTCTGCACATCTTCCTCTATGCTTTGATTTACCACTAGATTATTTATACTAATAAAATGTTAATTATGTATATATCATTGCTATGCTGTACTGTTTAGGCAATCCTGACAAGAAAAAAGGCTGTATAGTTCCACACAGATGAAAAAAGTGGTCTATGGCCAACAGGAAATATTTCTTCAGTTAACATTTCTTACTTATATTTTGTGTATTGTGTGTATTTTTCAATTTTTTATTTAAAAGAGGATAAAAAAACGATAAAAATGATGCAGAATTTCAAAACAAGATGATAGGAAATTAATAAAGATTATTATATTACATATTGTTATCTTCAAAGTAGTTGTTCAGATTACCAAATATAGGCATGCATAACTGATCAAACAATGTAAGCACTTTGAATGAACTAATAGAAATTAGTAGTACAATGATCTTAGCTATCTTGTGCACATATATACATATATATATTTCCCTTCCTTCTTTTCTCCTTTCCCTCATCCCAGTAGTTCTTTTATTTTGAGCAGTTTCTTTCCCTTTCACAATATCTATTGTACCTTTTGGATCTTATTTACTCTTTCAGTTTCTTACACTAGGGAGACAATGTGATGTTTATACATGCAAATCTTATTTATTTCATTTACAAGTATGGTATCTAGTTGCATCCATTTATGTATAAAAGCCTCAAATTTATCTTTCTCTATAGCTGTGTAATACACCATTGTATAAAACTACCACATCTTTTTTATCCATTCCTCTTTGATGGGCATTTGTACTGTTTCTAAGACTGAGCTATGACAAATTGTGCTGTATAAACATGAGTGGACATATATTGCTGTGATATGATGTTTACAGTTCTTCTGGGGAAATATCCAGAAGGGGAATAGCTGGGTCAAATGGCACTTCTAATCCTAGTTTTCTGAAGAAACTCCACACTGACTTCCACAGTGCTTTCACCAGTTTACACTCCTACCAACAGTGGAGAAGAGTTCCTTTTTCTCCACAGCCCTGCCAGCATTTGTTATTGGTAGATTTTTTTTCTTTATTGGTAGATTTTTTGATGATAGCCATTCTTTCTGGGGTTAGATGGAATCTCAGTGTTGTTTTAGTTTGCATTTCTTGAATGACCAATGATGTTCAACATTTTTTCATGTATTTATTTGCCATTTGTATTTCTTCATCTGTGAAGTGTGTATTCATCTCAGATGCCCATTTTTGTATTGGGTCTTTGAATTTTGGGGACCTGACTTTTTAAATTCTTCATATATTCTACATAGAAGTTCTTTGTCTGAAGGACAGCTGGATAATTTTTTCCCCCAATTTGTGGGTTTTCTCTTCATCCTGTTGGTGATTTCTTTAGATGCACAAAAACTTTTGAGTAAGATGAGGTCCCAGTTGTTCACACTTTGAAGTATTTCTCGTGCAGTTTTGTGTCTGTTCATGAACTCTCTGCCTAGCTCTGTGTCTTCAAGATTTCTACTTTCTTACCCTTCCAGTAGATTTAGTGTTTCTGTTTTAATATTTAGAGCTTTTATCTACTAAACTTTAGTTTAGTGGATGGTGATAGACATGATCCAGATTTAGTGTTGAGCACGTGGAAAGCCAGGTTTTCCCACACCATTTATTAAAGAGGCTATCTTTCTTCTAGTGAACATGTTTGACCCCTTTGTCAAAGATAAGTGGATGAATATGTTTGTAGTTGTGTCTGCATCTTCTAATCTGTTCCACTGATCCTCAGGTCTGTTCTTTTGCCAGTACCATGCTGATTTCATCACAGTAGCTTTGTAGTATAATTTCAAGTCAGGGTTTGTGATACCTTCTGCCTTGCCTCTTGTTGCCTGGGGTTGCCTTTGTCATTACAGGTCTCTTCTGATTTCTGATGAATTTTAAGAATGTTTTCTCTACATCTGTGAGGTTTGCTAATGGCATTTTGATCAAGATTGCATTAACTGTATAGAACAGTTTTACGAGTATCTCCATTTTCACAATGTTGGTTCCTCCTATCAATGAGCAAAGAATATCTTGCCATTTTCTGAAATCCTCTTCAATGTCTTTTTTCAGAGTACTGTAATTTTGCTGTATAGATTTTTTATTTCTTTTATTATATTGATTCCTAAGTATTTCTTTTCTTTGGATGCTATTGTGAAAGCTGTGATTTCTCTTATTTCTCTCTCAATGAGTTTTTTTGTGTACAAGAATGCTATTAATTTTTTTTTTTTTTGGTTTGTTTGTTTTTTTTTTTTTTCCGGTACCGGGAATTGAACTCACGACCTCATGCTTGCCAGGCAGGCGCTGTGCCGCTGAGCTAAATCCCCAGCCCCGATTTTTTCTGGTTGACTTTGTATCAAGCTATGCTACTGAATTTGTTTTTTTCTTTGTTTGTTTGTTTTTTTTTTTTGTTGTTGTTGTTTGGTTTTTCTCCGGTACCGGGAACTGAACTCACAACCTTGCGCTTGCCAGGCAGGCGCTTTGCCGCTGAGCTAAATCCCCAGCCCCCTGAATTTGGTTATTAAATCTAGAATACTTTTGGTGGAATTTTTGGGGCTTTCTATGTAGAATATCATATCATCTACCAATAATGATAATTTCACTTCTTCCTTTCCTATCCTTATTCCTTTTATTTCTCTCCCTTGTCTAATTGCTCTGGCTAATGATTCCAGAACTACATTGAATAGGAGTGGTGATAGTGGACATCCTTGTTTTGTGCCTGATTTTAGAGTGCAAGCTTTCAGTTTTTGTCCATTTGTCTTTGGCTCTGTTGATGTGGTGTGTTACATTTATTGATTTGCATATATTGAGCCATCCCTGCATTCTTGAGATGAATCCCACTTGGTCATGGTATATTATTTTCTTGATGATTTGCTGCATTCTGTTTGCTAATATTTTACTGAGAATTTTTGCATCTATAGTCATTAGGGAGATTAACCTGTAGTTATCTTTTTTATGGAAAGTATGAATATTTTTAATGGAAAGTATGAAAATTTATTTCAGTGTTTAGGCTGAAAGAACACACTACATCAGGTTTAGCAAGAAGTCATTCCCTGATGCCAACTGCATCCCAGCCTTAAGGGAAATAAACAAAGTTCATCACCAAGGGCTGAGCAGATGTGCACACACTAATGTAAAGAGCAGCTAAACCTTGGTAAATCCGGGGTTTTGTTTTTTCTTCAAGTTTGTGCATTACTTTGTTTCCATTTTCTTTTCCTACCCAGGATATGCAGCACTTGTGAACTTCCAGTGGGTTCCCAGCTTTAAAACACATTAAATGTCTTAAAAAGACTATTTAATTCTTCAGAAATCTAAAAACAGAGCAAACATGTTTTGCTGTGAACATTTTGTAAAGACGAAGTGAGGCTGGAGTTTGGTTTTTTGTTTTTTGTTTTTAAATCAATACAGTGATGGAAGAGTAAAGAATGCAAGAATTCAGACGTTCTGTTACTTTCCATTAAAGGTCTATAAAAAGGGGAAAACTGAAGGGGAGTCAGCAGGAGCTGTGTTTGTTTCCCCAACCCCTGTTGAATAGTTATTGCTGAGGAGTTACTGCTAGGTCCCCACTTGCTTCCCTCCCTTTGGCCTGAGAGGGCAGGCAGGGCAGTACAGAGGCACTAAACAGTACCTCAGGACTCCTCTTTCCCAGAATCATCGTCGTAGTAACAGTGGGCGTCTTCCTCCTCTTCGTCTTCATCACCAATGTCGTCATCATACAAGTCGTCCTAAAGCAAGTCTGAGCTGTTGTCATTGGAAGGCACCTTAGTTTTGATGCAATATTCCGCCAGGGTTGTAGGGACCTCCATTCCATCCTTTTCTGCTTCGGCGTTAGTGGCTGAAACCTGTTTCCTAATGATTTCAGCATATTCTTTGTCTTTTCCTTTACTGTCCCTCCCTTTCCTGAACATAACTAAGGCATCTGCACTGGCTGGGGAGAAGGTCTTGGGCTCATTAAGCAGTGAGATTACACTTAACAGGAAACTCCTCCCGTTCTGAGTAGGGTTACACCTTTCAAAAGGCAGCTCTCCACTCTGTGGGTCATCTGCAGGCGGGTGAAGAATCAAAATGCACACATTTCCATTCGCATAAATGTTGGGGTGCACCATTTTGGTCAAGAATCTGAAGGCAGGTGGTGAATATGGACAGTCAATAGGAAATTTAATATGTGCTTTGAAGTAGCAGCCTTGGTAGAGGGTGTTGGGGGGTCGAGGATGGCTTCCTCCGGGTTGTACAGGTCTGACTTGTCCACACGTGATCAGGAAGCTCTCCACGGGCTCCTCCTGCAGGGACTTCAGCCCCAGCACCAGGGTCTTCTGCGAGCTGGTCATCTGCTGCTGGGCCCTCGAAGCGGCAGTGGCCAGGCCGGTCCCTAGTCCTGGCAAACTGGCTGGGCCGCCCCAGGCCCCTCCCACCGCCACTGCAGGAGTGCTGGGGTCCTCTCCCTGGGATCCGCTTGGGCAGGGAGCAGAGGAGGCGGAGGAGGCTGCAGAGCGCCTGCCGAGCTAGCGCTAGCTCGTCCTCTCCGCCCTCTCCTTCTGCGCGGGCCGCTGGGGCAGAGGCCTCGCGGAGTCGGGTGTTGGGGCAGGGGACACGGGGGTCTCCGGGCGGCGGAGGCAGCCCTGGGGGAGGGGCGGAGAGGGGAGCCAGAGCGCTTCCCGCTGCGGGAGCACCGAACCTGCCTGTAGTTCTCTTGTTTGTGGAGTCTTTCTCTGGATTTGGTATCAGGCTAATACTTGCCTCCAGCAATGAGTTAGAGAGAATTCCTTCCCTTTCAATTTCATGAAAGAGTTTGAGGAGCACTGACATTAAGTCTTCTCTAAGTGTAGTGTGGGGAAATTGGCCAGGCACCTGAGTTCCTCTGGACTGAGGCTCGCGTGATGGAGGAGAGGTGATGAGTGAGATTTCTCCCCACCTGCTTGGCTCACCGGGCTCCCTGGATGGCAGAGATGCAATGTTTCAGTTTAGAATGCTAATACGTCATGGATAAAATGGATGTGATATAAAACTTAGTGCTAAGTTTGTAATCATGTAAATTATTTTTGCTACATAAGCACTATTATAGGATTTAAAAGGAAAGGCTAGTGAAATTTACCTAAGAAACTACATTTAGCTTTTTAATGTTTTAAAATACATTTGAATTACTATGTGTAGTTTTATATTCCAAAATTTCTGTATACTTGGCATAAGTAGATTTCTATGTATTTGCATACTAAATCCATTCCTTTTTTTTCTTTTGAGACAGGGTCTCACTATGTAGTTCAGGCTAGCCCTGAATTCAGTATGCAACCCCCCGGGGGCTGGAACTTGCAGTGGTCCTCCAGCCTCAACCTCTGGAGTGCTGGGATTACAGAGGTGTGCCACCACACCAGGCTCTAAATCCATTAATTTAAATTAACATAATTTAGTGAACAAATAGAAAAATTTGTATAAAAATATTTGGTCCACAGTATTTGATTCTGCAGATGTAGAACCTGTGGGTAAGGCATACCAACTCTAGTATCTTTTTATAAGGACGAGATGTTTATTTTGGGCTTATGTTTTTATCTGTTTTTACTTACTATTCTGTATGTGCATCAAGGGCTTTAGGGACCTCTCTTATAGGCTGGGCACTAAGGAGGTCTGAGTTAGTCACAAAACATCATTTTTTTCTGCCTTTCAAAAATTTGCATGTCACATACACTGTAGGATGAGCTTTTGCTCAAAACCTTTGCTGTGTGTAGGAAATACAAATGCCTTTTATTCTTTTGAGCTGAAAAAGCCAGCAAAACTTTACCTTATGCATGGCAAATATAAGCATGATAGTGAGCCACTCCTTTGAAACAGCCTACGGAATGCCTCAGTATGTTCTTGAGGAGGTGCTCCATTAGCACGGGGAGTGTCTCAGTTTCCGACTCCAAGATCAAAGTAACTTGGTAGCTCTTAGTCTTTATTCTATTAATCTGGCGCAATTGATTTCTCAGTTTAGGGACTTAAATAGTTAGTATCTCATCAACACTTAGTATCTCCCAACTTCCATGCTTTGGAAATCAAGGAATTACATGGTTCTGGATGGCTCAGGTTCAAGATACTTGATTCAGTTGGAAGCAGCCTGTCATCAGGGCCTGCATAATCTGAAGGCCTGGCTGGAGTGGGAGGATCCATTTCTGATCTCAGTTACATTGGGTTTTGCAGCTTTAGCTTGCTGGTTACTGTGTGTCATTTTTCAGGGTAGGCAATCCCAAAGAAATCAACCAAAACAAACCATAATCTCTATAATCTAATCTCCACAGTGGTATCTAACCAGTTACCTATTCTATTGTTAGCAACCGGTTATATACAAGGTTTAAAAATTGTGCGTATTGGCTCCCATGTTGTTTCCTAACTCACATCAGGTTGCAACCAAGAAGTCAAAACCACCAGAGTCCACACTGAAGATTTGCACATCCAATTTCTTTAAATGGAGCCTAAAGCATAGAGACAGCCTGCTTGGGGTAGACCATGAAAGGGGACTTAACATTTGTTAGTGAAACATAAGAAAAACCTGGGAAATATGAAACTCCAAGTGTTTACAGCCTTTCCCATATCTCGGACACTCAGACTTCTGGCTGCACTGCTGAGTGACATGTCTTCGACCTATAGCTGCTTCTCTAGTTCTCCCATGGGAGTCCTCTCTGCCTCCTCAGAGTGGCAGCCTGGCCTACTGACTGAATAGTTTCTAGTTTAGAGAAACTTTGCTCCTCAACTGGTCAAAGCACAGACCAAATGCAGCTACTGTCGTCTCCTAAGCCAGGTGTTTTCTTTAACTAAACCCTGAGTCTTCAAATTTGCTAAACCAGTCACTCAGTGCAGCTCATACTCAGGAGAGGGTTACAGAAGGGCACACACTGGTGAGGGTGGAGTTCACTGGGGCTTTTGCAGTGGTTGCCTCACCTGGTCCCCTTCTAAGGCTCCAAAGATTCCCATCTCTCTCAGACACCACCCATGACTCTGAGTCTTGTGTTTGTCTGCAAGGAGGTGCTGAGGGGCACAGGGTGATGTGCACAAGGCTGTGTTGTCTCAGTTCCCCATCTGCACGTGTCACTGTGGACATGGTTGCTCTACCACAGGGCACAGTAATACGTGGACTCGTCTTCAGGCTGGGCCCCTGTGATGGTGAGGGCAGCCTTGTCTCCAAGCAAGGAGCCTGAGAAGCGGGCAGGAACACCAGGGACCCGGTGCGTGGTGCTACCTATTAGACCTTGTGGTGTTTGGTAGGGTTTCCGTTGGACCCAGGCAGCATAGTTACTGGTTGTGACTGCTCCAGTACTGGAGCCGCAGGTGAGTGTGACTGTCCCTCCAGGAGATGTGGACAGTGCAGGTTCCTGAGTCACCACAGCCTGTGATTCAGCCCCTGAAAAGAAGAGAGGAAAGTGACGGTCAGGCGAGGAGACAGAGGCAACACCGCTGCCTTGCACAGCCCCAGCCAGAAAATCCCTGCTGACCTGTGATGTGAGCCAGAAGTGTGAGCAGGAGAGGAGCCCAGGCCATGGTGCGGACAGCCCAGGACTGTGCTCTTCAAGACTGCTTAGCACACAAGCAGCCCTCCAGCCCTCATTATAACTCTTCATACTCTCCTGGGGGCAGAGGATAGGGTTTTCATGCAAATGGGATTGCCCTGCCCAGGAGTTCAGCAGCTTGTTCAGGTCACACCCACTGAGTTAACTCACAGTGAGTATGGGTTAGGAAACTCTAGTCTACTAAACTTTTCAAAGTTGTTACTTCCTGTCCCAAGATGAGCGCCATAGCACTCTCTATTGTCAGCAGTGAAAATGCCACTGGTGCAATGATGCATTCCTGCAGATCTTTTCTTACTTGTAACCCATTTTCCTTAGGTCTGGAGGTTTTTGTTTTCTCACTACATGGAATTCAATGCCTGTTATTCCTGGAGGAAGCTGGATGGAGACATTTTGGGGAGTGGAGACCTGAGTCAATCACTGCTTTCCTCCAAGCCATAGACATCAGGTACCTTGAGTAGCGAAGCTGAGACCATGGACTCTTTTGGCCTCTTTATGTAGGTTTCGTGGAAATTCACACAATAATGAACCACTTAAGAAGAGTATTTTTTAAAAAGTTTTTTGGTCTTTTTGTGACACAGTCTCAATACATATTTCAGGCTGGCCTTGAACTCACTTTGTAGCCCAGACTGGCCTCAGACTCCCAGGAATCCTCCTGCCCCAGCCTCCCAAGTGCTGGAATTACAGGCATGCTCCATCAACCCAGCATTATCATGATCACTGTCACATGAATTCTACAGACTCAGTAGCATTTCAGAATTTCTAATGTTTTGTTTTGTTTTGTTTTGTTTCAGAACACTAGAGGAATACACTGATTTTCTCTGGAGGCTTGAGAAATAGTTCATGTGTGTGTGTCTTTGTGTGTGTGTGTGTTTAACTGATCATATGTCTCCAGTTGCAGAACTGTGTACATTTTATCTTCAGAGCATTTGTCTACTCCAGGCTTCTTAAACCTACTGATCACCTGGTAATCTATTGAAGCAGTATTCTCAGTCATGCTCTATGAACTTCCAAAAGCTGTGAGGCCAGTTAGGTGTCAGGGTGGAGGTGTGAGATGGAATGATTTAACTTCCTGTGGAAGGGATGCTTTCTCCTGTCTTCTCACACGCTAGAAGACCCCTTAGAACCTCACTGATAGGATGGGCTCCTGGAATTTCAGAACTTGTCCCCTGTCTTGGTCATTTGTTGAACTTATCAGCTCTTGTATTTCTGTTTTACCCAATTTGATATCTTCAGTGTATTATGCAGAATGTTTAGATCTCCTAAGCTAATTGAAGTGGAAGTCAGTTTAGCCCTAGAACAAAAGTTTTAAAGTAACCTTTATCAATTATATGACTATAAATTACTTTAGATTTTCATTCTTTTCTTTTTTAAAATTTCTTTCTTGAAATAAATGAGAAAGTACATATGTTCCAAGTCAATAGCTATTTACTTTCAATGTAAGTATCCTGTGCTGGGTTCTTGGAAAACAGTCTCTGAGTTGGAGAGTTTCCTGCAGGCATTTTATTTGGAATGCTCTATGAAGAAGAGAGGCAAGGGGATATCAAAGAGGGAGACAGTGAGGTGTGGTGCAGTCATGGTGAAGATTTCAGCTGATCCTGTGTGTATTAATGGAGACATGATGAAAGGGTTCCTCGGACATTTAGCAAATTTTGAAAATGTGTATGTTTTACTCCTGTAACAAGCAAAACCTTTGTGTGCAGAATGTAAAGGATGCGATCATGTAGAGGTCAAACTTTGTCATCATAGAACAATTTCCAGAGGGCACAGCAGTGGGTACACATCAGCATCCAACACTCCTGACAGCTCGAGGGAGGAGAGTCATGGAGTTGAAGGAGAGAATTGGGAGTGACAATGATATATATCAGAGTCCTAGAGGAAGATCTTAACAAGATTTCTGAGTGCAAGAAGAGGTTTCAGAGAGGCAGGGTAAGGAAAGAATGGTATCAGTAAATGATAGCTCCCAGCAACATCCTGTGAGTCCTACCTCCCTTTCAAGGGAGGGTTTATACCCACCTATTGGATGGTTTTGTTCCCATGGAATGCGAGAAATCATCAGGCTTTGGGCTGAGCCCTTCACTTCCTTGAGCTCCTTTGAACTTCTGTATTTGTGTTAACGAGGTAAAAATTGTCAGAAGCTTCTGCCTGGGCTCAACAAGGCCCTGAAGTCCTGTCAGCTTATTCACTGCTATTCTTTAGTTTCAGGAGTCGTGTACCTTTTACTATGCTCAAAATGAGCACTGGTTATGGAGCCCCAAGTCTGTAAAGTGAGCCATAATTGGACAGAGAAAACAGCAGCAGACCTTAGAGGACCCTGTGGCCATTGGAGAAATAATATTATGTTATCAGGTATGGATTGGTCAGAGTGTCAGAATTACCAGTGGAGACA